AAAAAAAAAAAAGTGACAACAATCTAAAATGCAAAGAATAAAAAAGCAGTTCCAACCAAATCATAAATCTCATAAGTTGCCACATCTTTATAAGATAAAGAGTATTAGATACCCAACTAAGAAAGATTTAAGCGTATGACACTTATTCACCAAAAGGAAAACAGGAAGATGTAAACCAAAGAAAACGATCAACTATACACAAACCATATAACATAGTTTGTTTCCATTCATCCATCGTTGCTTGCAGCAGCAATGACAGCCTACGATACATGAAGCTGCAAACAAACAGCAACAACAACCTCAAAGATCCACTGTCGACGGTCAAGACAAATTTTAATTAACCAATAGCTGACAATAAGTGTCTTTCAGTGGTTAATCAAGGTTACTAATGTTCGGACATTTGGCAGACTGGAGGCATGTTAGTCCATGGATAGGACTCCAGTGAAACCGTAGATGATAGTCCAGCAGGTAGAAGTACACGTTCTTCGCGCAAGCTCTCGCCCGAAGGTGCAGCTATAAATTCACTGGTGTTTCGAGAATTTCCAATAAACCAACCTGATCCCAGTAGAACATCAGGTCTCAGGAAATCAGGCAAATTTGGAGCATATTTGTCCTGTTCCTCACCCAGCATTGTTGCCTCTGAACCTGCAGAAAACATATTCACAGGTCACTCGAGTACCAGGGAGAAATTAAGAGCAAGAAATACTCACCCGTAGGTGTTTCACAAGTTGATCTTTCATTAAATGTGGTTGTAATGGTTGGGTTGCACTCATTGAAAAGAGAAACAGCTGATAGACAAAAGGGGGAGGTTGGGTCCCTAATCTCTTCTTCCCATTTGACTGCAGTTGTTCCCGTCATGGAAGCTACGGCATGATCGAGGCTTGTCTCAAATGATTGTTTCTTCCCAGTGCTTATTGCCTGTGATTCCAGAACCAAATCTTGTAATAAACCTTTGTTTCTTGGTGAAGCACAGTCGGACTGCACTGAGATATTTTCAGGAGACTGGATGTAAGTATCAACTGCATCAGATGAGGATGCAAACAAAGAAGACGTGTTCCAGTCAATATAATCAGGTTCTGGATATTGGAGTGAAGGGAGCTCCATCTTCACAGCCCCTGGAAGGAGCCTTGAAGAGGATAAGTTGCCATTTGATAAGGCAGGGTTGCCGGGTACCGAGCAAATGAAAGGTGCCAGGTTCTTGCACTCAGGATCGGGGTCGTAGGGATAAACTAACCCGGAGTTCAAATGATTTGTTTCAGCATTCATATTCGACAACTCAAATGCAGGAATCATACTGCTATGGAGAAGATGGTAGACTGGAGAGCAGGTTTCAGATTCCCAGGCCAGCTTGACATGATTCCCTCCAGAATTTAGGAAGCTGCGAGTATAATAACCAAGACCATGCCTTGGGATGCCTGTAACAGGATTGTCTGGAAAAAGTGGTGGATAAGATACTGGTGCAGGATTAGCTTTGTAAGGACGATATCTAAATTCTGGAGTTCCATTTATAGTTTCAGTTAAAACTTCAATGTTCTGTTGGTCACTACTGCTGAGCTCACTGGAACTCTGAATCGGTTGATCATCATTTGAAGTTTGAAAGCTGACCTTAGTCGGGTATAGTGGCAAACCAGCTCGCGATCGCCTCTTGATGCGGGTGTTCCAGTAGTTTTTTATTTCATTATCTGTACGCCCAGGAAGCTGGGCAACAGTTTGGCACAATTTAGATTAAAAAAAATAAAGGAAAAAACACCTACAGTAAATTCATGCAAATCTTAAATGCGTGTAGCAACGTTCGGCGATACTAAAAGACTGGCAGAAGCAGATAACGTAATACTCAATTTTTTTGAAAAGATACAGGTACAAGTACGCAAATTAATTATATCTAAAATTTTAACTTTCCTTAAATTAAAAATCATTTCATTGTGTTCTATTCTTCAGATCAATCATTTTGATTTATAAAACTATATACTAGTCTCCAAAAACGAAAAAATTATTGAATTTGTATCCTTTTTGATAAGTTTTTCTAAAGTTTTAAATTAAAGCTACGGTCACCTACCCATTTAGCGTAGCTTCCAGTAAAATTTTTAGTTTTTCCATTTTACCGCACATGCAACAAATGATTTAAAATTTAAGGGCTGTGATAATTTAACTGATATATATTTATATATAAAAGTTAAGTAATTAACCTGCATATATTACCCACCCCGTGAGATTCGGTAAAGAGGAAAGAGAGAGCTGGGAAGAGAAATCTGAGAAGAGAAGGGAAGGAAGGAGAGGAGAGAAGGAGAAGAAGAGACTAGGAGCAAGGGAAGGAAGATCAAGAAAGTGGGAAGGTACGAAAGTTGATTTTTTTTAAAATCTAAATTTAGATTTTTGGGATTTTTTCCTATAAATCAATTTTCCTTCGAGATTGTAGGTTTTTATGCTTTTCTGAATAATGATTTTATGCTTGTTTACAAAAGATATTTTGGGGGGTGGGATGGTGGACTTTTTCAATAGAAGAATCGTCACGGGAACGATTTATAAATTTTAATATAAAAAATAATTTTTTTCAATATTTTGCATGTATATTTATACATAAATACATATAATAGATTAAAGTTTGGAAATGCACAGTATGAAATTTTTCGTATTATGAAATGTATAATTACAGTTTTATTCATGGATAAAGAGTCACCTAAAATTTTGGTTAATACAAACTTGCAAGTAGTGCCTTTTAATTGTATAAATGCTTTGTTAATTGACGATACTCTTAAAAGAAAGGATCTGATACCTGTAAGTCACTCATTTGTACATACAGTTATTTAGTATACTTGCAAAAGAATTACATTTAATTATGAAAATATGCTAAGCATAAAAAATGTCATGTCATAGTGAAATATATTGGCAGCGATATGTTACATACCTACACAGGCATAGGGAAAAAGAATCCC